AAAAAAAAAAAAAAAAAGAAAATGTTAATCTAGCTTCCAGAGCTGCCCATTCATTCTAAAATATTGATTGATGCCTACTGTGCACACAGTGTTATGTGAGATAAAGAGGGCACCTGCTTTCAGGACCTTGAAAATAACTCATCTTTGCTAGAAAACAAGTTCTGAGGAGACTGTCTTTCCTGTTCACTGGCTTACTGGCAACCTCTAGAACAGTGTTCAATAACATTCATTTCACGATTGAGTACTAAAGTCTGCAGACAGCCAGTGATTACCAATCAACCAAGGTTAACCAGCTCAGGCTGAGGACCTCAAGATCAGCAGAGAAGGAATGTGACCCGGGGTGTGAGGAGGGGCTCTGAGGCAGTGATGCCTGGTGGGTTCAAGACAGGAGATGAGGCCAGCGTGGCACATGAGGCTGGGGGTGCTGGGTTTCCCCCAGGGGTACAGCAGGATCTAGGGATATGGGGGCTCTAAGTACCTGACTAACAGGGCCTGGCAAGGCTCCAGGATTTGGACTCTCAGGATCTTCCTGGCCCTTGTGCCTGTGCACAGCACTCAGGTGTGTCCACTGGTCTCTCTCTCCTATTGTCTGCCTTCAGTGGAGGCCACCAGCCCAGATATGACACTAACCTATCCTCCAGTTTTGTGGTTATTAGACTGAGTTGCCATTTCTACTCTCTTAAGAAGCTGTGCAGCCTGGCACTGGAGTCAGGAGGCTGAGGACTTCAGCACTCCAGTATGTTTTGGGGACAGGACTTAGGCTCTGAGTCCACAGAGTGGAAGGAGGGGCTACAAGATTTTTCCGTTTGCACTAAGTTACTCACACAATACAGACATCCCTCAGGAGCTGATTCAGCCATGGAGGAGACTTGGGGGCATCTGAGAGAGAGGATGCAGAACAGCATAGATCTTAGCTTGGTGCATGTTATATTTATATTTGCTTATTATCCTACATGTATTTATATGCAGGACAGTGGCTGCTTCTGGAGAAAGGGGATGGACTTTGGAGGTGGTTTTCAAGTAGCTTTAAGCACAACAATGATGTATTTTACAAAAGGGAAATTATAACAATATGGTAAAATATTAATAGATAAAGAGTACCTTGGGCAGTGCCTGTGGTTCTGTGGGTGGGGCTCTGGCCCCATATACTGAGGGTGGCGGGTTTGAACCTGGCCTCGGCCAAACTGCAACAAAAAAATAGCTGGGCGTTCTGGCAACCACCTGTCCCAGCTACTCAGGAGGCAGAGGCAAGAGAATAACCTGGGCCCAGGAGTTGGAGGTTGCTGGGAGCTGTGGTGCCATGGTACTCTACTAAGAGTGATAGAGTGAGACTCTGTCTCTCTAAAAAAAAAAGAGTACCTGGATATCTATAACATTATTCTTAATATTATGCAAATCGGGTGTTTTGGCTTTGTCTCAGATTTGCAGAGTGCCTATACTCCAGCTCTCAGATTCAGCCCTCCACTGCAGGGGAGAGGGTGCAGATGACTGGAAAAGACCAGCTGCCCACCAGGATCGGGATGGTATCCTGATCCCTAGTTACAAGCATGTGGGCTGCAGTGGGCTGCACGTGTTGTGTGCCCACGTGTTGTGTGCCCACATCTGAGGCAAAGGCTTGTCTGCATACCCCAGCACACTGACTCGATTGCTCTCCTAGGGTACGGTCACCAGCACTGCGACCTGTGCCCAGCTGCACAAAAGAGCTGAAAGAGTGGCTGCAGCTCTGATGGAGAAGGGAAGACTGAACGTTGGGGACCATGTGGCTCTGGTCTATCCCCCAGGTAAGTGCAGCTCCAGGCTGTCCATCACCACTTCTTTGTATGCAGCTACCTGAGACGTTCCCTCCTCAGCCTTCCAAAACTAAACCTAGCCCCTGCCTTCTCTCTGCACATGCCTGCCCCCTTCAGCTCATGTTCAGTAGGCTGTGGAAGCCTTGGCCCCATCCCTAGTGAGGCTCAGCACCCATAGCTCAGTGGTTAGGGTGCTGGCCACATAACACTAGGGTCGGCAGGTTCGAACCTGGTTCAGGCCTGCTAAACAACTGACAGCTACAACAAAAACAAAAAAATAGCCAGGCTTTGTGGTGTGTGCCTGTAGTCCGAGCTACTTGGGAGGCTAAGGCAAGAGAATTGCTTAAGCCCAAGAGTTTGAAGTTGTTGTGAGCTGTGATGCCATGGCCCTCTTCCCAGGGTGACAAAGTGAAATTCTGTCTAAAAAAAAAAACAAAGGTCTGGTGAGTGTTCGGACCAGGAGGCTACACTGTGTGAGCTGGCAGGCATAGCAGTTAGGAGTCTGCCTCCCTGTGCGGGGAAGTCTTAGGTGCCTTCACAGAAGCTTTTTGTAGGTGATAATGCCAGCCTTTTTTCCTGTAAGTTTGTTGCTGTTTTGCCTAGAAACATCAATTTTTCTTTTTGCCTCAGAGGTTAGGACTCTTCCTGGGCTACGCCCTGGTGTGAGTCTTCTGTCATTTTCTTATTCATTTAACCGCTATACTCTCATCTGCATCTCAGCAAAGTGTCTTTCTCCTGCTCTGTTTCTGGAACCTGCCTTACTTGTGAACCTGCCCCCTACCTCTCGAATCTTTTCAGTTGTCCTCACCTAATTTTACTCTTGTGCCGACATCTTTCTTGCGAGGTCTTTTGTGTCACTTGTTCAGGCTTCAGCATGAACCGTCCTCCTTTCCAGGTCCTCCTGTGGCACTGCCCCAGCACCTCCTCCATGGAGGGTCTTCCTGGGGTCTGCCATGGGATGTACATGTCCCTTGCAGTCACGTAGTCTTCTCTTGGGAAAGGTAGTGGCTTAGCTTGTTTCTTGGTATAGGGATACAGTAATTTGGATACTCTAGAGCTTCTACTCTACCCAGGCCCTGTAATGTGAGGTAATTTTTCTCCAGAGATGGTGATAATTCCTATTGTTCATGTGTCCCAAGCACATATCTGGTGCTTTATGCAGCCCCTCATCTAAGTCTGACATCACCCTGACTTTGAGAGATGGCAGAGACTCTGTGAGTTGCAGCACAGCCGGGCTAGAGCTCTCTGCCTCTTGCTGTCCACACCAGCCACAGCAGAGCTGGCTGAACTCGGCCTGGGAGTTTGAGAGCATTTCCTACAGTATGAGCGGGTGGTGGTGCTTGGGTGGATGCTTTCAGGGAGGGGCAGGCTGGGAGAGCTACTTCAGACACTGGGTCAAAGGAAGCACAGAGGAAGAAATGACACAGAGCAGATGCAATGCTGTGTGAGATATAGGACAGATGCAACTATCTGCTTTTGGTTAGTTTTCAATACTGGTAAAATACTATAATCAGAAAAAATCCATGTCAGAGTTGTGCATCTGCAGTTGAAACACTTAGCAGCTGGAAAGTGTAATCATGGGATACAGACCCTGAATTTTGCAGGTGGAGGACAGGTTTGCACATGTGCACTGGCCAGGGTCAGGGAATTGGAGGGGGGGAGGTTCTAGGACTTTCATCCAGTTCTCAAAGAGGTGGTGGCTTAGGGTTAGGAAGAGCTCTGCAGACACTGGGGGCCTAGGGACAGGAGGACCATGCCCAGGGACCTCCTCTCAGTTCCAGGAAACAGATTCTTTGTTTTGTTTTTTGGTATTTGGTTTTATGACGCAGAGTCTCACTCTATTGCCTAGGCTGGAGTGCCATGGCATCATAGCTTACAGCAACTTCAAACTGGTAGGCTCAGTGATCCTCCTGCCTCTGCCTCCTGAGTAGCTAGTTAGATATTATTTTTTAGTAGAGATGAGGTTCTTGCCTTTGCTCAGGCTGGTCTGAAATTCCTGGCCCCAAGTGATCCTCTGACCTTGACCTCCCAGAGTGCTGGGATTATAGGCATGAGGTACCAAGCCCAACAAAAACCAGTTTGGGAGCCTGGTATGATTTTACTCCCAATTTTAACTATGGAGGTTTTTAACCTATGGAGAACTAGAACAGTCCTGTGGTTGGGTCCTGGTAGGCCGCCTGGGGACCTCCCATTTTCTTCTGAGCGGCTTCTGTGGGTGCCCAGCACCTTCTGCAGCAGCCTATATTGCAGACAGCATCCCATGGGTCTCCAGGGAGCCCTGTGTGGCACTGGCCCTGGCCACTGTCATGTGCCATGCTCTGTGGTATCCTCGCCCTACCTTGAACACCAGTGTGGAGCCAGTTGCAGCCACACCACCCAGAAAGCCGACAGACTCTGCAGGTCTCAGTGGACACGTATAGGTCAGATGCCAGCAGTGACAGCCTGTATCTCCGCAGGCGTGGACCTCATCGCTGCCTTCTATGGCTGCCTGTACTGTGGCTGTGTGCCAGTCACAGTACGGCCCCCGCACCCGCAGAATCTCAGCACAACTCTCCCCACCGTCAAGATGATCGTGGAGGTGCGCACAGGCGGGCGGACTCCCTAGGGCTGCACCCCTTGGGAAGGCCATGCTCACTCCACCTCTGCCCTGCCAGGTCAGCAAGTCCGCATGTGTGCTCACCACTCAGGCCGTCACACGGCTGCTCCGGTCTAAGGAAGCTGCTGCTGCAGTAGACGTCAGAACATGGCCAACCATTCTGGACACAGGTGTATGTCTTCTCCAGGCCCACTGGAGGAGCCTTTCCTACTCTTTGTCATAGGTGTTCTTGCATTGCTGGTCTCAATGTAAGTGGTAAGCAAGAGCAGCCCCAGTAAGTAGTGACAGGGCCACTCCAGGCCTAGTGGGCAGGTCGGCTGTCCTGGGATCCTTGGGTCTGCCCAGCAGAGTCCAGAGAAATCAGATGTCAGTACTTCCTGCACGACAGTGAGAGTGAGTGTTGGAGGCCAGTGTTCCCTCTACCATGGCCTCTACAAATTCCTTTCTCCACTCTAGGCCAGGGTAGTGCCTGTGCCCAGTAGTGCAGACCACAGACTCCCCTCCCCTTACTGCCTCTCCTGCTGAGACAGGAGTGGGCCCTCTTTTGCGGCTTTCTGCCGCTCACTCAGGGACAAAGCCCCCATGGCCCCCACCATCTCCAGTGAATGTTGCCACGTGCTGTGAAGTACTGTGGGCGGACAGCTCCCTGGTTCCCTCAGCCTTGGCTCAGCTTAATGAGACCATCTCAGCCAGGGGCTAAGCCATCCCATGGATCCCAGTCCCTGGATTGGGTGGGGTCAGGGCAGCTGGTGTGCGAGGCAGTTGGCAGCCTTCAGGCCCCCCAGGGGAACGGCATCTGTCCTGTCTGGACCTGTGTCTACTTTTGCTCTGGGACAGCAGTGGCATCTGGTATGGCTCTGTGTAGGCTCTGTGACCTTGAGGCAGACCTCCATGCTCTCAGCTTTCTCCCATATCAATAAACGAACTTCTTATGCGGCCCTCCCAGCCTATGCCTGTCCTCACCTACCATTCTGTCCCTACAAGCTCAATGTAGTCTTGGTGGATCTGTGCTGGCAGCATTTTCTTAAAGATTAGCATCATCTTTCCATGCACACACAGCCTCACTTGGGTCTTCAGGACTCCCTGAATGCACATCTTGTCCACCCCAGGCCTTTTACCTTGTCAGAATACATGCCAGAGCCCTGGTATCACCACTGTCTCCTGTTTAACAGATGACATACCGAAAAAGAAGGTAGCTAGCATTTTCAGACCCCCCTCCCCAGACGTGCTGGCGTACTTGGACTTCAGTGTGTCGACCACAGGGATCTTGGCAGGCGTGAAGGTGGGTCCTATGAGCAGGGCTTCCATTTGGGTCAGCCTCTGGGACACAGGACAGGAGGGATGTCTATGCAGATCTAAGCAGATCCTATTCCTTACCCAGAGCACCAAGCAGTAATACTACTTCTTAAAGTTTGTGTTAAATAGCAGTAGCCCCCCCCCCCAGGTGTGATTAGCCTGAGAGTACTACATATTTTGATGCTTAATGGTAATAACCAAACTTTCTAATCTATGATTGGCTTCCAGGAACAGGTGGCTTTGATGAGTCTGTTTCCTTACCTAGGAGCCAATAGCACTGTTAAAATTTCTTGCTATCATAAAATTTTGTTTCAAAAGTTTTTAGTGGGAAGCCAGGTCTGGTGACTCACATCTGTAATCCCAGCACTCTGGGAGGCTGAGGCTAGTGGATGGATTGAGCTCAGGAGTTTAAGACCAGCCTGAGCAAGAGTGAGACCACACCTCAAAAAATAGCTGGGTGTTATGGTGGGCACCTATAGTCCCAGCTACTTGAGTGGCTGAGGCAAGAGGATCACTTGAGCCCAAGAGTTTAAGGTTACTGTGAGCTCTGATGCCATGGCACTAATGAGGGCTACAAAGTGAGACTCTGTCTTCTAAAAAAAGTTTTTAGTGAGGTATTTTCTGGGTACTATATAGATTACATGAGAATTTCAGCCAGCCTTCTTTTAAGGATATGATGATAGTGTTTGATAGTTTGGAGCTACCACAAATGTCCCAAACCCTCTTTCTTCCTGAACATCACTGAACAGACCCTTATCTTACTCCTAAGATGTCACACGCAGCCACCAGTGCCCTGTGCCGCTCCATAAAACTACAGTGTGAGCTGTACCCCTCAAGGCAGATCGCCATCTGCCTGGACCCCTACTGCGGACTTGGCTTTGCTCTGTGGTGTCTGTGCAGGTGAGCGTGGGCCCTGCCTATCTAGAGCTGGGGCTATGGTGGGTGGGGACTTTCCGGAACCTTGAACCTCTGGAGCCCTTTTCCCAAGTGCCAGGAAGCTGGAGGGACTCATGTGAGTGGTTTTGCTGGGGGATGAGGTAGATTGAAATCAGAGTCTGAAATTGAGTAAAAGACTAAAAATACATTTTTCATTAAATACAAACACTATCCATTATTGGTAATTGGGAAGAATCTGCTTGATTCCTTCAAATGCTGGGAAGTGGTGATCCATCTCTGGAAGCAGAATGCCCCATGATGGCATTGCCCGTCCCTCTGGAGAGTCTGGGGCACAGGCCAGGACCTGTGCCTGCCGACTTGCACCTCCACTCCCCAGGGTATTTTCTTCTGAATTCCGCTTGATGTGAGAACAGAATCATGCTTCTGTCCTGGCTGGGAAAGAAGTGTCCTTGAGGAAGGGAACAGTGGGGTTTTCCCAGAGTCTTGGTTAGGCAGGTAGCAACGGACAGGCCTTCCCTTCTCACAGCGTCTACTCGGGACACCAGTCGGTATTGGTGCCTCCATTGGAGCTTGAGAGCAACGTGTCTCTATGGCTGTCGGCTGTCAGCCAATACAGGGCCCGAGTCACCTTCTGTTCCTATTCTGTAATGGAGATGTGCACCCGGGGGCTGGGCACACAGACAGGCGTCCTGAGGGTAAGTTCGCACACCCTGGAACTTAAGGAGCAAACCAGACTGGACTCATAAGATCTTCCCTGTGCTGGGCCTGGTGTACGCACTCTTCTCCTCCTCCTCTCCCCTCTCCCCTCTTCTCTAATTTCTCCTCCCCTCCCCTTCTGCTTCTCTCTCCTCCTCCTTCCTACTCCTCCCCTCCTCCAGGGCCAACCTGGCTTTGGGTTTCTGGCCCCTTAACAGGAAAGGGCACTGAGGGCCTGGGGCTAGCAAGAGGTCTGGCAGCTCCAGAGGGCAGTTGTGGGGCTTGGATCAGATGCATACCTTCGAGTACTAGAGTGGAGGCAGGCAGAGTGAGTCACCTTTGAGTGCTCTCTCGTGGGCCCCATGCAGAGCCTCAAGTTCTGTAGGCCTGACTCTCACTCCCCTGGCAGATGAAGGGGGTGAACCTGTCGTGTGTGCGCACATGCATGGTGGTGGCCGAGGAACGGCCCAGGATCGCGCTTACTCAGTCCTTCTCCAAGCTGTTCAAGGACCTGGGCCTGCCTGCACGCGCTGTGAGCACCACATTCGGGTGCAGGGTCAACGTGGCCATCTGCCTGCAGGTGAGGGAGTTCTCCAGGGCCTGCCTGGTCTGTCCTCTGTCCTCCGCTGTGCCTGAGCCTCAGCCTGTCCTTTCTGTGCAACTTAGAGAGTGTGAGGGTTTCCTTTGAAAAGCTTGCTTCTATTTTTGTTGATGAACAGAGGCTTGTTTTAAAAAAAAAAAAAAAACTTTTTGAATAACGATTAATATCTTACCTGTAAAAATCTCTAATTTGGGTAAAATAGGCAACTAATTTTTTAAAGCACGATTGAATTTACTATTTTAAGACATCTAGCAATTTTAAGTTGAAACATTGATGAATGATGAATGTGATACTTTGTATTGACTAATTTGTTTTTGAAACTTTAAGGTATTTTACTTTTTAAAAGAAAGCAGTTTCAGAAATCCAGCAGCTGACTGCAGTGCTGTTTACCACTTCTTCATATTTTGTACTAGTATAATCATATCATTTCTATAAGCATCTGAAAACCAAATAGCTCATTAGACACCCCACACATCAATTGCCTTGCTCACCCACATCACATAAAGTGGCAGGGAAGAGCAGGGTCAGCCTGCCCAGATCAGTGCCTTGCCTGTGTGCCCTGTGGTAGCAGCACGTGCAGGGCTGGTCAGCGTCCTGCTGATGTCCTCTCAGCTTGGAAAACCTAACCTCCTTGTCAGGGAGCAGAGGAGCTTGGGTAGGACCTCTCTCAACGTCCTTTCCTGCTGGTGTGGGTTAGTTGGTGGCTATGAGTGGAGACCCTCTGTCTGCTTTGTGTTTGAGAGCCCCTGCACCCACAATAGCTACTGGGAGACCTTCACTCTGTTTGTTGACACATAGATGCGCGTGAGAGTGCAGAAATGTTCATGGGATATTCACGTTTGCTCCTTGTTTCTCTCGTGCCTGTTGCCTTCTTTTGTGTTTCCTGTGGCTGTCTTCTCCCTGTCCCACTCTGCCTCTGTCAGCCCAACAGGCTGGGAAAGCTGGCTGAGCAGGTATGACCCCAACCCTCTTGCTGCCTCTGCTCCCCTACAAGCTCACATGGCTTCCTTGTGAATTCTGGAGAGATATGTACTTCTCTTGCTCTCTCTTTATCAACAGTGCCTATTATTTGACATCTTACAAAAGTTCTTCTGTGATCAAATTTTAAAGTAAACCTATTTCCAAAAAAAATTAATGTTTATGTCATTGCCTTAGGATGAAGGGATGTGTTTTGTCTCAGATGTAGAAATATTTATTTCCAGGACAGACATAGGTTATATTGTCTGGAATCTTCAGGGAGTGATGTCCGACATTCTTTATCTAATAAAATGACACATAACATCCTTTAATGACAATCAATGTCAAATGTAAGATTCAGAAATCAGGGAGACAGAAGGGAGAAGCAAAGGCTGTCATCCACCCATCCAGGTGGTCTCAGCTGTGCCCCAGGCCTTGGAGGATTAAGTTACTTGGACAGAGAGGCTGGGCCCTGCCCAACAGCTCAGTGGAAATGACCCCCCAAACTAGTGTTGTTTTCACCACAGCAAGAGACCAATGAGAATAGAAAGTTGTTACAACTGAAATATAAAGTTGTGTGATTTGACGTTTTTATTCAGTGTTTGAAACATTTTTCGTTTGCTATTATCAAGTCATCTGAATGTTTGGATGGAAAGTGTCAGCCCTGCCCTGGGGACCCTAGCCCTGGGCAGACTTACTGTAGAGAGCAAAGCAGCTACCCTCTGGGGCATCACCCACAGACACCTGTGCTCACAGAAGAGGAGTGAGCTGCCCTGACCAGAGGCCCCTCCGCTGCTCTCCTTCCAGGGTACGGCAGGCCCAGACCCCACAACTGTCTACGTGGACATGCGAGCACTGCGCCATGACAGGTGAGATCCCTGCCCACACAGTTCTGTCCTCACCCAGTGACAAAGTGCAGGCTGACCACCCCCAAGCACTCAGACATCAGGGACAGCTGGCTGAGATGGCAGACCTATCTGCACTGAGAGGGAAGGAGCAGAGCTGTGGGTGTGTCCCAGGAGGAAGCTCGGCCTCTGTGGCTGTGCTGCTCCAGGTCCTCCAGGCTGCAGTAAACATCCATTTCTCTGTCACAACCAAAAAGGGTGATAAGATTGACCAGATGTGTGACACTCAATTTTTTAAGCGGATGCATGGAATACAAGTAGACCAACAAAGGCTAGAGCGCTTCTTCCCTGATGGTATTAAGACATCTTAGTTTTCACACTAGTAAGCGTGAGCTGGGACCCATGTGTGTGCTTGCTGGTCTGTGTTCAGATATGTGCTCAGGGTCTCTCACAGCTTTAAAGCTCAGATCCTAATCCTGGACCCTCAAATCTGGCCACATTATAGTGTGACATAAATAACGAGTACAGCTTACTGGGTGCCAGGGGCCAGGAGGGTCTGGGGTGGACCCAGGAGAAACATGAGTGGGCGCACCAAGCGGAGAGTGTGTCTGAGCACCGACCCACGAGACCCTTGTTGTTGCTGGAATGTTCCCAGTGGCCCAGGGCCACTGCCCAGGGCACTCACATCAGTTGAGTCATTGAAAGGCTGGTGTTGTGGCTGGTCGGCAGCAGGGCGGCTGGTGCAGGGCTACAAGCCAGGACCAAGGCCCATCTGCTAGCCACCGCCTGTACCGCTCTTCAGAGGGCTGCAGCCCTGTAGGTCTCCGCTCCAAATCTACCCGGCCCCACTCGGCAAGCCTCAGCTGCCTCTTCCAGAGACCCAGTTTGCCAAGTGGCTGCCACTGTATCAGGTTCCGGCTGCGGCCCCCCACCTCCTCCCATCTTGGCGGGGATCCCAGCTCCCCACCAGCCCCAGCCCCAGCCCCAGCCCTGGCACCATGTTGGAGAAAAGCATGGAGGCAATGGCCAAGTTGAGTGCCAAGGACCTGAAGGAGGAAGTGAAGGAGAAGGCAAGCTGGAAAGAGCGAAAGAAAGAAGTGATGGAGGAGAACGGAGCTAAGGAGGAAGAAGAAACTGCTGAGATGGAGAAGAGGAGGATGAAGGGGAAGAAGAAGCGAATGATAATTACTAAGGGCCC